ATGTGAGTCTGTAGATTCACACGAACCCGATTTAGAGTGGATTAAAACGGAAGGTTTGGGTTCTAAAACGTAAAATCTTTCGTCTCTGCCCTTAAAAGCGTGCGTGTTTTGTTTTGGTACTTAATGTGTGTAATGTGAAACAGATGGCGGTCTCGAGAAAATTGAATTATTTATAAGTATTTATGCGGCAAATCTATATAATAAATAGAAGGTCTGAAAGAATTCGGATTTGACAGTGTAGCAGTTTTTACGGAGCGCGTAATAGTCTTTTATTATTTTCGGTTTGCTGTGTTGGCTCCCTGAGCTCGGTTGCTAATTGTGTAATACTGAAGCAGTTGGTATCCGTGTTCCGCTGTTATCCTCGCCGCAAATGACAGGGGCATGACGTGTGTGTGTGTGTGTTCTTTTCAGTTCGTCGGATGTTCACTGAACTCCACGTAGTCCGTGTGTCGTATGTTAACGATCTTTTGCAGTCACGTGATTTGACTTCAGAAAACTTTATGCTTCAAGCGATTTTATATCGATTCTCAGCTTTTACGGCGCGTAGCTCCCCGTTACCCCAGATAACGTCTGTTTGAGCAATAATAACAGAGAGGTTTGAGCATGTGAAATTCATTTTACTTCGTTTGTGAGTTAACTTAATCCGAATTACTTTTAAGTCGGTTTGAGCATGTGAAATTCATTTTACTTCGTTTGTGAGTTAACTTAATCCGAATTACTTTTAAGTCGGTTTGAGCATGTGAAATTCATTTTACTTCGTTTGTGAGTTAACTTAATCCGAATTACTTTTAAGTCGGTTTGAGCATGTGAAATTCATTTTACTTCGTTTGTAAGTTTGCTTAATCCAGATTACTTTTAAGTCGATTTGAGTAAGTGAAATTCATTTTACTTAGTTTGTGAGTTCACTTAATCCAGATTACTTTTAAGTCGGTTTGAGTAGGTGAAACTCATTATACTTCATTTGTAAGTTTGCTTAATCCAGATTACTTTTAAGTCGATTTGAGTAAGTGAAAATAATTTTACTTCGTTTGTAAGTTCACTTAATCCGGATTACTTTTAAGTCGGTTTGAGTAGGTGAAACTCATTATACTTCGTTTGTAAGTTCACTTTAGCTGGATTACTTTTAAGTCGGTCCACTATGTACCTTCGTTATGTGACACCATCGCGTCTTCTTTGCAACAGTTCGTGTGTATTGATCTGGTCCTAGGTCATTGTGCTCGAAATTTATAATCGCGATGCCTGCAAATCTCTGAGGAAAGCCCCACCCCTTATTCAGGGGCAGCGATTCGTTACTTCCAAGGGTTCGTTTGACGCTCGTGTTTAGAATCAAAGCCCGAAATAAAGGGTACAGACCTTTAGAATTCTTAATGAATAGGACGCACGGACGGGGCCGCGCCATTTGCGTGCAGCTGATAAGACAGGCCGACACCCTTTCTCTGTTCTCTCTGCCATTCGCAGCTGTGCTGCCATCTGTTGTCTTTGTGAACGAATTAGTACCGCTGAATCATTTTGTTGCGTCTGACAACCTAACCTCAGTCCCTGTGACCAGCGACGGAAAAACAACTCATTCTTTGTTATCCTGTTGATGAATACGAGTTTCAGGCGGTGGTATATTTCAGTTTGACTTATTTCTGCCACTAAAATAATCTTTACCGCGTGTCACTATCCGATATTCTGGCACTGACGCCTTTATAAACTAAACTCGAACCTAAAATTGTCTTTGCCACGTGGTTCCTTCCATTTCGTAAGTGACCTCCTTTCATTCACAACCACTCGCGCCAGATTCGCGTGCTTTCCACCTCGCTCTGACCTCTGCGTGACGTTCTGTTTTCCAGCATCGCCTGTTTCTTGTCTCACACGCCAGAAGACACCGGCCCTTATCTTACGCCCTACTTCCCAATGATTTATCGAATCGTTCTTTGTTTGCCTACAGCAACCCCAGGGCCCACAGATTTCCACCCGTTTTCATTATCTCTCAGTTGAGCGACGCGCAGATTTGCCTCGACGTCGTCTGATGGGTTCACCTCTTTCAGCCACTTCGCTTTGCCCTCCAGAGTGACTCCTGACTAACTCATGTTTCACTTTTATATCCTCCGTCTCTACTTTACGTTCTTGTCCTTTGGCGAATTAACATTTTGCACGTCTGATTAACGGTGTCACGGTGGTCAAGCGGTTAGAACGCTGGCCTTGTAATCCTGGGGTCTCGGGTTCGATTCCCGGCGGTGCCCGAATTTATAACTTGTGTTGGGCAAGGCCGTGGTCTAGGCAACACGGAGTTTTCCTCCGTGGCATCCCAACCATTACTCCATTCACACACAGAAGAAGGCAATGGCAAACCACTTCTGGATCATCTGCCAAGAACGTATATGAACAGGTCCCAGTCCGAGAAAAGGATGGAAGGATCCTGTTCATATGGACCTGTCGTCAGACAGAACACTAAATAATAAACAAAACGTCTGATAACATTCAAGGAACACGGATTCTCTAATGTAATAGCGCGAATCAGACACACAGAGAAACATATTCAGAACAACGCGCATTTAGAGGAACGCGGACGTCTTCGGCACAGCAAAGTTTTGATTGCTTGTTCCTCTGCTGCGTTGCGTTATCCAGTGTTACATTCCGGACTGAGAATATGAACGGACCGACTAGGACCATAACGAATCCGGGGTCGTAGCATCGTATAGCCTGGGAGAAGTTCATACCTGCCTCCATCATCAGGACGTTAAGTAAACTTATACCACGGCGCTAGAGCCCAGGAGACCCGCCATCTTCGGACTCATCTCCGTGAGAATCTCGTCACTCGTAGAGCAGTCGCTTAGAATTTATTTTGAGTCAACGTAACAGTGGGGGCAGAGCGCTCTACAGCCAAAGGAACGGACTCAGTAGGACGCGGTTTCTGTGTGACACGTGCCC